GGTAGGAAAACGATTTCGGGAACCGTACAGAATAGGAAACTGAAAATTCGTGTGGATGGCTTCCGCGTATGTGTAAGCAAAGGGTTTCAGATTCGACTAAAACGCATGCCTAGCTCACATGTACACGTACATGTCAAAACTGAAATTCAGGCAGGCTAAATAGAGTAGAGATGGGACACTTTTGTGTTCCTGGTGGTCGTTTGTGGCGCGCTGGCTGGCAAAGTGGCTTTTATTACACAGCGTTTAAGTACGATAAAGAGCAGTTAAACATACCTAAGTGCACAATCGAGTATTGGCAGTAGGTTGGTCCGTGGACTTTAGGGATTGGAAGCCAAGTAGTTTAATTGAAGACGATTCGTTTGTCGGAACCGAGACTGTACCACTGAGCCGTCTGACGAAGTTGGAGGAGTGGGACGAGACGAAAAGCCGAACCATGAATGAAGGAAAGGGGGACTTATATAGATGTTTTATCTTGCCCAGGGAGGGATTTCGTACCAGCCTCCCCTTTGTACCAGCTCCCATCTGGCTTCAACAACAAAGCGTTATTAGATGAGTTATGGTACTATGTCTAGACGCTTCACTCTTACAGAGGGTGATTAACGGGGGTATAACACAGACAAGAAAGGAGGAGAGCCATATGGTGGTAATTTTGGTTATAAAATGAAAAATCGAAAAAGTCTGAGATTATTACTTAATATTAAAAATTAGCAATTCATATTTGCAATAGGAAGCAATATCTTTTGCGGTTTTTTTCTGTTATTGTACAGGATAGCATCGAAGAACATGGCAGTGTAAGAACATGGCAGTGTAAAACTTCTGGGGACGATCAATCATTTGATTTATAGTTGGAAATTTAGGCTTTTTATTTGAAGCTGAAGGTGATCATTACAGGTTATTTTCAGGGCGACAGTGGTGGAGGCCTGATGACGCAAAATGCAAACGGTAATTGGGTTCTGCTTGGTGTCACCTCATATGGCAGCGACTGTGAACAGCTATTAAATATGAGTGTTAAACCTCGCGCACAAACATTCACGAATGTTCGATTATACAGCTTTATTATTGATAGGTTTACTGGTATGTCGACACCAAAGCGGCAGATCTAACCTGACTGAATCGTTAGCTGAACGTTCGATGAGCAGTTGAATTCGTGCGAGGCAGCGACAGAAAACAATGGCAACAATCGACACATTCATTGTTTTTCACGAAAGAAATGATAAAAACGATAAACTTCATGCTTTTTTACAAGTGATTTTGACAAATGTTACTAATTAGTACGCGGAATAAATTGGCTTTGAAGTTGTCTGTGATAGGAAGCGAGTTAATGTAGGTCGGAAAGTCCGACAAAACTGCATTTGTTGTGTATTAGGTAAAGCATGAGGGATAGATTTTCCTTTGTCAAG